GGCACACCACCTATACCTTTACAAAAAGACTTTTTAGGTATACTTTACTAAGCTATAAAGGACTAATTTAATAAGAACTATCCTAGATAATCTAAATAAAAGTAAGGCTAAATACCTAAAGTTACTTATTAAAAGGGTAACTACCCTTATAAGAACAGTTATAAGGATTAGTACCTTATCTAACGTAGCCCTTTATAACTAATTACTTAACTTTTACTATAAAGTAAAGAAATACTCCTTTACCTTCTTTAATCTATTATTTATATTTACTAGTGTATATAGCTAGCTTTAATTAGTAATTAGTAATATAATATAATTTAAATAACCTATATATTAATATTTAACTAAAGAAGTAAAAAAGTAGTATTAAACTAACTATACCTATAATAGCTAGTAAAGTTACTAGTAGTTTAGCTACTATAACTATAGCTATAGTAATTTTACACTATAGCACCCTTTTAATAGTAATTTATAGTAGTAAGTGCCTTTATCTTCCTTATTATTATTTATAAAGAAATACTATATTTATAGTAAACCTAACTACTAGTTAATAAAATACTTAAAAAACAAAAAGCAGTAAGCCTACTATAAGTACAAGGAGCAGTATTTAATAAAGTATTTACCTAAGGCCTTTAACTACTTTATAACTAACTTTAAGGGATATAAGCTATTTACTTTTAATAAGAAAGGTAACCTTATAAAAAGTAATAAAAATAAAGAATTAGGCACTATATTTTATATATTAATAACGTTCTTTAACTTATTTACTATTAATAGGCTTACTCTCTTTTTATTACTATATAACTAATCTATAACTTATTTTCTTATAAAGAATAACTCCCTATATAAGAATCTATATAATAATAAGCTACTTAATATAGACGTCTTTACCCTTAATAAGTAATATTTATTTATCTTATTCTATAGTATTATACCTAACTCTAGTGTAGCTAAATATTTAATAGCTAAATATAAGTAGTATCTTACTTTTTACTACTAAATAAATAGAAATCTAGATATAGATAAGTTATAAGTAGGTAAAGTAAAAATCTACTTTAGTAGTAGTAACTATTTAAATTATAAAAAGTAATTAATATACTAACCCCCCTTAGTATACTAACCTTCTATATAATGCCCTTAAATACCCTATTTCTACTCTACTTTATAGATATAGATTAGTATAGTATTAAATTTAATAGCCTTACTAATAAGCTAATCTAAGGTAACATTATTATACTTATTATCTATAAATAGGGTTATATATAGATACTACTTAATTAATATAAGTAAAGTATTACCTACTACTATTTTACTAATATTAAGCTATAGTAAATCTATTATTACTTTAGCTACTTATTAGTTTAATAGCTCTATTACGTCCTTTAATAGTCTAGTAACAAAGTTAAGATTATAGCCTTAGAGAAAATCACTAAGGTTTACTACTATTACTAAATAAATATAAAGGCACCTAGTTACTTTAAATTTACTCTATATAATAATAAATATAACTTTAACTATAAAATTATTATTAATATTATCTACCTTAATAGTAATTACCTAGCCCTATATATAGTTAATACTATAACCTCTTTTTAAGTAGTCTATTTCTTTAAAAACATTACTATAGAGTATACTTAGAAAGTACTTTAGATATACTAAATTAACGTTTACCTTAGCCTACCTAACTAGATTATTACTAATACTAGCCTAAACTTTTACACTAGTAAATTTAAGTAGTTAGTAAGGTTACTCTATATTAATATTAAAAAGATACTTATTAAAGTCTATAATAGTATTAGTAAAGTTAAAAGATACTATATACCTCTTTAATATATATATAATATCCTTTATAGTAAAGGCTATATACCTAAGGTTACTCTTTAGTTAGCTATTAAGGTAATTAATAATATAGTTAACCTAAATAGCCTAGTGCTTATACTACTAGTTTTTAGTACCTATTTATAGATCTTTAACTTATTACTACCTTTATTAACCTTACTTAAGAGGGCTAAAGTAGTAAAAAAAGTAATAAAGGCTATTTACTAGATCTATATAAAAAGGTAAATTAATAAGGTAATAACTAGATATAATAGCCTAGATACTGCTGTAACAGTAGCCCTTTTACTTTAATCTAAGGTCTATGTCTAGTGTAAAAAAAAGAGCTAATAAGGCCCCTTTTGCCTTATTACTAATAACAAGACTACTTATACTATTAACCTCCCTTAAGGCCTATAGACTTTTTATTTAACTATTATTAAACCTTACCTTAAAAATACTTATAATAAGTAATAGTAGTTACTATCTAAAGTAAATAAGTAAAGTAATAAAAAGAATAATAATAATAGCGCAGTAGCCTTATTACCTACTAATGTCCTTATACTTACTAAAGAAATATATAATAGTATTACTATTACTATATACCTATAGCTAAAGCAAAAAGCTAGCTACTTATAAAAGTATATTAATTTTTTTTATAAAACTAGCTTTACTATTAGGTCTACTACCTTTTTTACTACTATAAGTATAATATATATCTTAATAAAAGAAAAAGCTGACTAACTATTATTAATTAAGCTATAAAAAAAGGGTATTATTACTACCCTAGAGAAGCCCTTTAAGTAAGTAACTACTACTAAGATTAAAAGGCTTATTACTTATAAAGTATTTTACTTTATTTAATATAATAAAAATAAGTATACTAAAGTATAAAGATTTAAATTATAGATTATTAATAAGGTAAAAAGCTAGAATAAAAAACTATATAAGAAATCCTACCTTATTATTTAAGGATACACTAATAATAGTAAAAAAGTAATTTTTACTTAGTTACTTATAATCTAGTAAGCTAGCTAGTGTCTTATTCTTACTTTTACTTTATTCTTTATCTATAATAATAAGGATTTCTTACTCTAGTTATAAGATATTACCTAGGTATATATATAGTTAACTACTTTATTAAATTATATAATTCTTATATAACTTCTATTATAAATATAAGACCTTTATCTAAAGAGCACTATTATATAAATAGTAAAGCTATTATATAGTATTATAGAGGTAAGCACTTACTAGTAAGTAATATATAGTTATTATTATAAAGGAAAGCTCTAGATAAAGACTTTAACTTTTAATCTATACTTACTAATTACTACTATAGAGAGCCTAGACTTTAGGATTATTAATATATAGACTAATAATACTATTACCCTTTTAAATAAATCTTTTTTTACTTATAAGGCTAATAAGCTTACTAAGGCTATATTTATTACTAAGGAGAAGTAAATCCTTACTATTAATAACTTACTTACCTTTAACAGTAGTATAGTATCTCTAACTACTAATAAAAAGCTTTATCTTTAACAAAAGGGCTAAGGTAAAAAACTTTAACTTATTAATAAAGAATCTTTATAAGTAACTAAGTAGTATATTAAGTAATAAGTCTATAGTGTATATATTATATTAGTTTACTAGCTTAAAGTATACTTTAACTACTTTATTATAGTATAACACTAGTTACCTAATACAGAAGAAATTAAGGTACTTAACTATTATATTATATAGTAAATAAGTAACCTTAACTATAGTCTATTATTTTACTTACCTAACCTTAAATTTATAAAGCTTTTTATCTTTATAAATAAATTATTTATAAATAATAAGGACTTTACTTTATAGCTAGAATTTATTATTATTTTTACTAATAAAGTACTTATAAGTACTATTATAGGTAATAGATTTACTATAACTAGTAATATTATTTACTTTAGCTTAATAAAGTTTAAATAAGTTACCTAAAGTATACTAGCCTTTAAGATCTATAGTATAATTACTAGTGTTAATATTACTTATATACTAAGTATAACTATTATAATAGTTACTAACTACCTAAAGCTACTATATATACTAACTATTCTTTATACTAACTTATATTTACTTTATAAGTGTCTTATTAAGCTTAGAACTATAAAAAAAAAGGCTTATAATTAATATTATAGCCCTTTAGTAGTTATATAAGTAACATAAGATTTATAAAGTATAATAAATACAAGGTAATAATAATCCTATTAATAGATTTACTAAATTATTACCTAATAAGGCACTAGAATAACTAGTTAAAAATAGAATAGTTTAGATTAGTATAAAGGGATAGGTTTCTTAAGCTATATAATAAATTATATAAATAAAAAGTATTAAATACTTTTAGGCTTTCAATTTTTATTATGTTTTTAAGCTTTTTAGCTACTAAGCAGTATCTAGGCTATTTATAGTAATTTCTTTTTACTTTAGAAAGTTACTAGTGTTAAGATATTTAGCTAATAGTAAAGCTATGTTAAAAGTAGTATATATAGCCTAAATTCTTATAGATATATAATAGCCAGCAGGAGCTCTACATTTTTTATATATTTAATAATTAAGAGTCTTATTTACTTAGTGGCACTGTGTATATCTCACATAACCTAATCTACTGTATACAGGATTTCTAGAAGACCCGTGTTTGATTTCCTATGTAGGCAGCAGAAGGCAGCAACAGGGTATTCCTTCGCGTCAGACCCAACCCTGCCCCTACTATAGGCATATATTACTTAGCCGCCCTCTAGATTATAAACCAGCTCTAACAGAAAAATTGGTACCTTCTGTAAAAGCTGGGGGGGTGTGTCAAAAGTGGTATATATGGCCTAAATTCTCATAGATGTGCAACAGCCAGCAGGAGCTCTACTTCTTTTGCATATTTGACAAGCTGATCTATAGTTACGTAATCTATAATTATGTAACTTACCTTAGCAGCTTACTTACACTACTATAAATATCTATAGTAATAACTTCTTCTTCTTTTTCTTATTATCTATCTTTAACCAGTAACTAATAGTTAATTGACACTATTGCTGCTACTGCGATTGCGATCCCTGTGATACTAACAAATTGGTTCCAATTGATTGGCGTTTCCTCCATCCGAAAGGTCACTATCGACCAAACTTGAAGATATGTCATGATTACCAGGTTCACGAGACTCCTGCTGCCTTGAAGCCTTGGCTGACGATGCCCGCAATATTGATAATAGCATGGTTTCGAGGCCTTTCGTTTCGGAGGTCAAACCATTTGGTTGCCTTTACCTTGATGAACTCTGCAGCTGCATGCTGGTGATTCTCGCTTACTTCAAGCTGGTCAACGTAGTCTTGGGTGATGTGCACCTCGAAGAACCGCATGTAATATCGTGCGGCGGCAATGGCGAAGATGCTAGACAAGAGTAAGTAATCTGAATATTTAAATCTGTCCCCAGTCACAGGGTCAGGTAGAATGAACGTCCAAGAGCCTACTCACGTATCTTGTGGCCCTACCCACTTTCTTCGCGCCAGCCGCATTGATACGGCTTGTCCTATGATTTGGGCGAACCGTTCATCTGACAGTTTTGGCACGCCGTCTAATATCTTACCAAGGTGTCCCTTGGTCTCGAGGATTGCAACGCGACCCAAGCGTTCGCCAAAGTCCTGAACGAGGGACAACCCCCCATCGTCAATAGATCTGTAGGCGATTTCTCTCTGAATGCGACAGTGCAATTCGAGCTTGAGATCATCGAAATCCACGGCAAAGTCATCCGAGTCAGACCAGTCGCTTTGTGGAAGGTGTTCAAGGACGTACCGGATGAACTCGCTTGCAAATCGATGAGTCAAATCTTCAGGTCTTTGTGGCGATTTTACGGCTTCTTCCTGGGGGATATGAGATTGCGACGACGAAAGATGCTGGGATGGCGAGGATGGTCCGATAGCTTCAGTCAACTCTTCTCTGTTGTACGTGGGTGCCAACGGCGCCTGGGTTGCTTGCCGTTTTGGACGTTGTTCGAGTAACGGCGAAAATGAGAGGTCCCGCTTCACACCTGATATGCCGCCAACGGGCGGAGAACTGCCCATTGAGGGCGTCTCGTGGGCCTCGTGCACATCATCACCCTCCTCGTCCCGTGAATCGATGGAATCATCAGTCTCGCCAGACAAACACAGACGGTTCATCGCAGCCCATACACTGCCAAGGGGGTCACGGCGGAGGGCATATTCTGTCCGCACACTGCGAGTGACACGGTCATGGTACGGTGGACCTTTCACTAATTTGAAAAGCGCCCTCGCCCTCGTCGGTTCTCCACGATCATCCTCTTGCCGGGGATCAGACTCGGAAGCTTGGTCGAAACGTAGCATTGACGAAGCCTCAACAAAGTCTTTATCCTCATTAAGGGATGGAAGAAGGCTTGCGTCCGTTTCTACAACAAGCACTCGTAAAGCTACCAGCTGCGGACGGCCCCATGTGCTAGCGCCAAGCCTGTTGAGGCTTTTGAGCCAGTCGCCATCAGGTTTGGCCTCACTGTTGTAGGCAATCGGTGTGGATACACGGTGGAAGTAGTATTCCTCTCCCATAGTGCAATTTTCCCGGCAGGCTGTGTCAGACCTGTTATCTGATTAGTGGCTTGTGAGCAAAGTGAAGAAGAGTGTGAATCGTGAATCTCTACCTCTGCAGTGAGGGGCGGCCCAGTTGGTTGCTGTTGGTTGGTTGCTGCACCGGGTTGGCTTTTGCGGCCACATCCTTTTACTCTGTATCCGTACTGTACAAGGTTACTCCGTATTCTAGCCACATCCGCTTTGTCCGTGCGCATCATAGCCAACACAAAGCCACCTTTGGGGATGTGGCGGTGTCAGCTGACAAAGCCTGGAGATCCCGCACATCCATAATTACGTCAGGCGTGCCTGGACACGCGAGAAAGTCACCACGTGACCTTCTGGTCCCTTGCACGTACCCCTCCCTGCATTCACCAACCTGGCGCTCCACCATTCACATGTTTTAGTGTCAGGCACGTCACGTCACATTACCGGGAGTCCAACGCGCAACGATGGCTCTGATTCCATTAACCTCCAACCCCACCATCACCGGTCGCCAATTCGCCCAACATCCACACGCTGCACATGGCAATGGCTGTGCAGTCGTACGATACTCTCTCGTTGCGCCAGCTTCAGCAATCACACCCGCGTGAGAGACTTCAGGTGCACCCGCTGCTATGGACTTCACGCCATCTCGATCTCCTCAGATGTCCCTTTGTTGACATACCTCCTCTACCCGCTTCTCCCCCCCCGTCGTCCCAAGACACATGCCAAGATGGAATCCGCATAGTTGCCAGCCCAAACTCTACAGGACGAGGAAACTCATCTTGCCGCAGCCGGCGCCCTCTATCCAACTTGGACTCCAACGTCAGTGCCAACCAACCCAAAACCAAGCAATACTCCGCTTCGACCCTGCCTCCTCGACCGTCCCTCCCAGAGCATGCGCGGTGGGCCAAGGTCCTGGCCAGAAGCCCCATGGTGAGCGTGAAGGAGGCCATGATCCGCGCTCTAGTCCTCAAGAGGGCAGTACGCGCCGCGCCAACCAGGTAGCATCCCCCCTCCCATGGTCCAGCCAGAATGTCATCAGGCGCAAAAGGCTAACGTGTCATCGAATGAACAGCACACCTTGCGTCCTCCGCTTCGAGAAGAATCAAATACGCCTCCGTTGCCTAGTCTTTGGCGCAAATACCATCTCTGTTCCGTCCCAAAAGCCGACCGAATCCTCGATATCCTACTTGGACGCCTCGAGCATCCGCGACGCACGCAGCACATATCTCAAGGAATCGTGCCAAGCATGGAACAGCATTACACGGTCACTCTACAACACCCGGCTGGCGATTCTGCAGCGTGGCCAAAGAGCTCACGACTCCTACGTCACTGCCATTCTCATTGCCTTGGCACAGCATCAGTGTCGCTCGGCCCCGCACAAGTCAATTCACCGAGTGAGTGCTGGCAGGCAGCAGCGTGTATCATTGTTTGCTTGATGTTTGGCTCTAATGATTGTCACAGGTTCACGTGCTGCTCAGTGATATCGACAACAAGTCCCGAATGACAATCTACACGGCCGAAATTCCGAATTCATTCCTCGACAAGCTCGCACATCCTCGCCGTCCTCCACCCCCCTTCGCCGAGTTCCAGGTTCATGCCAGGACAGTCGAATACGAACCATACGCAACATTCCAGCAGCGTCTTTCCCAAGCCTTGATCCCCTGCGGGCCGAAACGAGCGCGCGATCCGGACTACGACGATGACGATGACGAGCATCATGCCCAGAAGCGACGATGCGCTGATAATGGATGAAATGGAACGGGACAAAACGAAGTTGAATAAAGGAAGCAAACGATCAGGACTGGTCACCGGCAAGATGCCTCGACGACAGGCCGCACTGGCACATGATGAGTATCGAGTTTTATCCGTCTCCTTGGGCTTGCAGGCGTGCGCGATGGCTTGTGAAAGAAGCTCTACACTCTTCTGCAATCCCCCAGATGTACTGCTCCACTAGCAGGGTTCTCCAGGCTTTGGCGTTTCCCGGGCGATCTGAAGATGCACCCACCTGCAGCAAATTTACAAACAAGAAAGCGAAGCACACATGGAAATGCAGCTTTGGCCTATCAACGCGCAAGTAGAGCACGCCGGCTGGTGTTCGACGTGTATCTCTCTCATGGAGATGGTTTGCAGTACCATGTCACCAGTGGCGCTTCGATGTCGCTTCAGGGCTTCAAGACGCTCGATTCTGTCGGAAGCCTGTAATCAGGCTTCACAAGCGGCGCGTCCGAGAACGTCTTGCAGAAGACGTACGGTCAATCGTCCAAAGGCAATGATGCGAACATGGAGGACAGTCGACGCTTTCGCTCCATTGATGTCGTTGGCAATGGTTGCGGTGAAAGAATCGATTGAGTGGGGTACCGAGGCAGAGGAGGCGACGCTGGCAGGGAGTCGGAGCCTGATGAGGAGGCGTATGGAGGAGGCTGATGGTCTTTTGAAACGCATGTGCCATATGTGATGGCTGCGCAAACAATGGTTCATTTACTTCACCTGCAAAAATACACACATTCGTATTCAAACTTCACACTTGGATCTGATGGTTCTCAAAGAAGGCAACCTGAGTTAGCCATCAGCATCACTATCAAATGGTGATATCCACTCATGAACATCGATTCGCTGCTCGTGGTGGAGGGATTCAAGTCTCACGATGCAATCAACGTTTACACAGTTTATTCGCATCATTTGACGATGAATTGCTGCAGTACAGCGTATCTCCATGCCACCTCATAGTGTCCCGCGAAGTGATCAATGCCTGTCACCATCATATCCGCTCGCTCATAATCCTGTCCTCCCCCTTTTGCTAGGCAGTGGACTGTAGGATCCACACAAATACTTCTTCCGAGGCTCTTTGAATTCGCCAAGTTGTCCTTCGGCTCCATAGTTAATTGCAGCTCAATCTTATAGTATGCCATGGCGTCCACCTTGGTTTGGCTGACGACCTTTGCCGACTAATGCCCCAAGGTAGGATTGCCGAATGAACGGTGCTCTTCTTGGTTCAAAAAAAGCCATGACGTTTGTTCAAGCAGCAATGACTGATGATAATGATATGTGCTGAAATTGATCTTTGGGTCTTCAGGTTAGTTTCTAAGCTACCTGTGTCAACGGAAATTGCATCATCTGCCCATGAACTCGCCTCAAACGGCCATTCAGCCACTGATAAGCCACTGTCCAAGCTGGTAGCTAGCGTGGCTGTTGGTTGCACTCAGAGTAGACCCTAATACAGTGCATAGCGTGAATTTGAAGTTGAGTCAGCGAAGCATTCACTGATGGGAATGTGGCTTTCAATGCAGAAACCCAGTGACGTAAATTAATTAAAGGGGGTGATTTAGGAATATCCATGATATTTTACGTTGTCTCAGGGTTCCTGTCGGGATATTCAGCTGTTTAATGGTGGAGCCGATCCATGGTCACGTGATCTACGATCACGTGACTTACCTCAGTGGCTTACTTACACTACTACAAATATCTATAGTAATAACTTCTTTTTCTTTTTTCTATTATTATCTTTAACTAGTAACTAATAGTTAATTAACACTATTACTACTACTATAATTATAATCCCTATAATATTAATACTAATTAGTAGTTAACTTTATAGTTACTACTACTATAGATTAGTAAGGATTATTAGAAAAGGCTATAATAATTTACTTACTATAGTAGCTTAAATTAAATTATTAAAGTATTACTTAGCCTAAAGATTATTAGTACCTAGGATCTTATAATACTTAGTAAATAACCCTTTAAGCCCTATATTTATTATATAACTATTACTATTAACTTTACTACTTTTAAAAAAGTTTTCTTTTTTATATATAACGTACTTACTAATAACTTTTATAGTATTTAGTATAATTATTTTCTTTTTTATACCTAAGTTTCTTTAAGTTCTTTTTTTTTTTATTTTTTAACCTTTTTTTTTCTAATTATTAAGATTTTTATTTTACTAAGTTTTTATTTTATTATAGTAGTAACAGCCTATATAAGATTATAAGTAAATAAGTTCTTATTTAAATAAGATTTTACTAGTAGGACTAGCTATAAAGTAGTTAAGTAAAAACTACTTAAGTTATTTACTTTTAATATAGTATTTATAAACGCCTTTTACTAATTTTACCTTTATACACTTTTAATACTATATTGTTAGCTAGGCGTAGCCTATAGTAATTATAGCTCTTAATTACTAATAGAAAGTTAATAGCTAAGTGTTACCCTTAGTAAGTATATCTCTTTTTATTCTTTAAGTAAGGTAAAGAAGGCAGAGGTTACTTATATTCCTTTAATTTATTTACTTTTTTTTATCCTTTAAATACCTATTAATAACTATACTATTCTTCTTACTTTTTCTTTTTTACCTATCTCTTACTTATACCTTCTTTTATTATATTATTTATCTATTTATCTTATTATTATTTATACTACTAGTAGTAATTTCTTTAATATATAAATTTACTTTTAACCTTATAAATAAGGAGTAAGTGCCTATAATTAAGAGGTTAATGTAATAAGGATAGTAGACATAGTTATTTATTATATAGGCTAACCTAAAGGAGAGATAAGGCCTTAGCAATAACCTAGGTTAGTAAATAAAAGGATTTATAGACCTATTTAGATAAAGGGAAGGCATTATAATTATTATTATTCTTAATACTCTAGACTTTAATACATACATAGTTATTACTATATATATTATTTACTTTATGTATATTACCTTCTTAAGGATTATGTTATTAATCCTTGATCTTTTTAAAATTTCTTTTTAGTTTAAATCTAAGAATTACTAGACCTATTTATATATATAAATTTTATTACTACTAGGCATTGTTATAGGTAGTAGTAGTTTTTTTACCTATTTCTTCTCTTTTTTTACTAGGTAGCTTATTACTCTACCTATTCTTAATAGTGCCTAGAGGTAGATTCTGTTCTCTAATACAGATTATATCTATAGAGTACAGTATTAGCCCTTCTATGTAGCTAAAACAAATATAACATAAAATATACAACATAATATATTATTAACTTTAGTAAGTAATAAGATAACTCTATAGATATCTTAAGAAAGATATAATAGCTATACGCTTTCTATAGATATAAAAAGGGAAACCTAGTTAACCTTAATAAGCCTTTATTCATTAGCAAAAATAAAAATATATTAGAAAATATACTAAGTAGATTATATCCTTCTTAGTTATATATAACCTTTTTATTTTTAGAATTAATAACATTTACTCTCTTTATTACTAGATAACTAGACTTATTAGGAGGTATTATTATTTATAGACCTAAGATATACTAATATAAATAATAATAGTAGTTCTACTAAGCTAATAAGTAAAGCAAAGGTACTAGTTAAAGTATATATTAATAAATATAATAAGAAGAATACTAAATAAAGAATATATAAATATTAAGAATAAGCCTATAAAAAGTAGAATTAAGTATAAATAGTAGCTATTACTTAACACTATTAAATAGCTATAGTATACTAAATAATAAAGATAATAATTTATATTACTAATTTATATAATTAATATATTTATTTTTATATTTAAGAAAACATTAACACCTTTATCTTTTAAAATAGTTTATAGATAACTATAATCTTTTAGTATCTTTAGTATTATTAAATTCTTAGACCTATTTTGTTATATCTAACCTCTTATTCTTAAAAGAAAACTAAGGAGGGTTTTCTTTCTCTAAAGACAAAAACCTAGAATCTAATCTTGTTGTAATGTTGACTATTGCCTAGATATTAGCGGTATAGATTAACGCTAATTAGCCAGAATAACTACAGCTAATTCACTGTAGATCTACTAGATCTACAGGTATATTACACAAGGAATTGACTACGTAATCCTATAATAGTTTTTTTTTCTTTATATATAATTTAGAACTACTAGTTACCTCTATTATTTATTACTTCTATTAATATATATAGTTAACTATATTACTACCCTAGTAGTAACTAATACTAATTAGTAGTTAACTTTTATAGTAACTACTACTATAAGATACTATAGATTAGTAAGGTTTTTATAAGAAAAGGTAATTTTTTTATTAATTATTTATAGTAGCCCTAATTAGTTACTAAGAATTCTATTTATAAATACTCTTATAGTAAGATTACGCTATACGCTTATTATAGGTTAATTTATATTACCTAGTAGTTATATCCCCTTAATATAGTAAGAGCAGTATAAATTTATATTATTTATATAATTAGATTAACTTTATTATTATATAAGAAGTCTCTTATTTAACTATAAAAAACACCTTACTTTGTGCACTAACCTACTATTAATTAGTAATTATTTACTCTTTACTTTTCTTTTATTATAAGCCTATAAAGCTTACTAACTTTTTTTTATATATCTTTTTTTACTTTTCTTTAAATTATTTTATATTACTAATATAATAGCCTTTGTTATCTATAAGCTTACTATAAGCCTTCTTTTTTTAAGTTTCTATTTAACCTTAAGTCTTTATAATTATTTATACTACTAGTAGTAAATCCTCTAACAGACATATACGCCTTTTAATAATAGTTAAGAAAAACGCTTATAACTAAGAGGTAGTTAGGCTAATAAAGAGTAATTATAAATAAGTAACTAAGATAAGTAGGTATAGGGAAAGAATAAGTAATATATAAGAAAATAAATTAACTAAGTACTTTATAATAATCTATAATAAGTATATAAAGCTATATAATACTATAAGGCTAGTAGCTATAATAAGTAACCTATACCTTATACTAA